TATCATCGGAGATGTGATTATATTGAAACGAAATGCTCTCTATCGACAGATTTATCATTTTCCGAACTGAATATCTGTATGCATATACAGAGTACATCATATATAAAAGAGATAATCGAGTACATGTTACATAAATTTCGATCAGCAGATGTAACTCGCACATGAGAACATTTAAAATACACAGTTGATATTCTACACCTTAGCTTCCAAATGGGACAAAAAGAAATTCTATTTTAATACCAAAAAACTTTTAGAAAACGACATTTTTATAACAGTAAAATTCATGCCACTTTCATTATATTTAGGGAGGCTGGATACGGTTGTGCCAGCGTACGATAGTGACTGTCGTCATAATAGCTACACTATACTAATTTTGAGTAGGGTCTAAAGGGAGAAAGGTGAAGAATGATTGTTCGAACAAGTTCCCATTATTGATTTCACCAACACTTTATTAACATTCAACACTTCAACATTCAACATATTAACAGTCAACACCTTATTAACATAATCTGTAGACCACATTGCTTAGAAACAGTCAAAAGTAAGTTTTAATGTTCGAATTCTTTTAATAATAGCTGTTAATTGTATACAGATAGATCACTTTGCATGTTATTTTGCTGAACATTAGTAGTTATTTACCAGCATTTTTTCGCTTATGTTAGATAATTTGTGACATGTATTTCTCGTCCTTTTCAGGTGACAATTAAACAGATAAAAAAGTTTAACGTAACTAATTGTAAGACAAAATAAGAAAGAGAAAGAAAAAGAAAAATTGAATGCAAGAAAAAAAAATCCTATAGAACTCTTGTTAACTTTGTTTAAAAAAATATATTTTGTTATACATTGTTATATTTTAGTTATAAGCTTTGTTTATGTTGTGTTGTGTTTCATATTATTGTTATTAACGACAATAAAAGTCGTTATAAACCATTTTGGTTTATATAGCTATTATTTTTTTAATATATTTTTATGCCTGTCATAACCGTCCCTCAGATGTAGAAGGATTAACGCCCTTTTCTGATATAATTTGATTTGATCAGCATTTTCGGCGGCATTCGAGTCGAAAGGATTAACAAAATTATTGATATACAAAAGTGGCACAACCGTACCGGTCCCCCACTAATAAAATAATTCTAAGCAAATATTAATTTATTATTTGTTACATAGAATATTTCTATTTGTCAAAAAAAACTACACTAGACAACGATTCCACGTGCCAATTGACTACATAATGTGTACTACTTATAAATGACTAATGACTAAATGACCAACTAAATGAATAATTGTATTGAGTAGTAAAATGAGTATACAATAAAATCTAGAGATAATAAGCGTTATTATAATGCATTAATGTTACCTAGATAATAAAATAGTTATTCAAAAGTTGCATGACATAGAGCACGTTGAATTAGTGAATTTATTTTTAGCCCATTTATCAATTGTCTTCTGACAATTTTTTTAACGATTTTTTTCAGATTCGTAGAGATCTTACAAGGTTTGCTCGTCGGGGATTTTGAACAATACAATATAAGAAAATACAGGGAACTGAAAGCCGAAGCGCAAGAACAAGAAGCATGGAAGCAAAAGATCGAAAAGAAAAATACATGAAAACAAAGGGAGGGTAATAGTAGTAATGGGAATGATAGACAACGAATGATAAGAAATCATTTGCGATGGCTCTTACACGATGAACTGTCTTCGGGCACACTACCATTTATTTCGTTATTATCAACTTCCCGTAGGGAGATGTGCTGATTAGTTTTTGGCAAAGGCAGGTCCAGCAGTTACGGAGATAAAGAGCAAAGAGTGCAGAAAATAGAAATCGAGTTTTCGAGAGAACGGAGCATCCGGTTTGAATGATCTAAAGAACATTCAATTTGTAATGATTCGGAGAAGTGGTTTTTAGTTTTAGTAAAGGCAGGCCTAACCATTTCGGAGATACAGAGCTTAATGTGCAAAAAATGGCAGTTTTTGAGAGAACTAAACGATTTGAATGGTTCAAAGAACTTTCTGCTTGTTTTAACAAAATAATTGATTTTGGAAAAAAAAATTGTTTCTGACTGAAGTTCTAATGTACTTAAACAAATATGTTTACCTTTGCAATTCAGTTTATATAATTCTTATAAATATTAGACAATGTTACAATATTTATAATAATCTTTTTAAAAACATTCAATATTTCTCGAACATTTTGTTACGGTATGGAAAGTTCCAGCAATTTGCCTTAAGGCACGATGCCATACACCCCACTAGTTATTATTATTTTACATAGCTTATAGGACTCTTAAGTTCTGTTCGCTGTTCGAATAAGTTATATTGATTCCGAAAACAAAAAAGTTTAATAATATTCAATTTTTCGTCTCAAAATTTATTTATGAGTTGTCAATGGCATGTTCACAATATAATGGGCTGACAACAAATTTTCGCATAACAAATTATTTCTGAAGCTAAAAAATCTCGAAGTCAATCTGCGAAGCCATCTAACAAGTAAGTCAATGACACCGAACGCATCATTGTAAGATATTCGATGAGGTTATTTATTGAAAGCGTACAATGGTCTCGAGGTGTATTCTAGTACACTAGCCAGTGGCCGCTAGCCGCTAGCCGCTAGTCGCGTGTATGCAAGTAGGTTGATTTGCCGTGCATTTCGCAGTTGATCGTCCTCTAGCTGGCGGCGACCGTTACGCGCTCAAGGTCAGTCGCGTCAATTCACCTTGTACGATCGAATTGCGGCTCCGGTTTCGGAAGCAATGGATACTACCGCGGCTATGGATTACACTTTCTGATTTAAATTCCTGCACTTTATAATTCATTCATTAAATGCCATTGCATTTAATAATTAGATAGACCAATATCCATTTGAAAATATTTAAAATTCATTAAAATCAAGAAATGAATTGTTTGAAATTTGAAACAATGTTTGAAATCATATTTAAGAGCGTTTCTTGATTGTAAATATGTTTAATATCATCATGAATTAAAATGAATGAATGCTCCAATTTTATTCTTTACTGTCTTCCATAAATTAAAGTATTAACTTCATTTAAGAGAAACAGAAACAACAATTGAAGAAGAATTCAAATTTTGGAATGTTCATATTATAAATGTAAATTAGTTTATATTTTAATTCTCAGAACAAATTAAAATGGTTGCCAACAAATATAAAAACAGGATAGACGTTCATCCTAATCAATTAGCAAGTCAAGTCTGCCAAGAAAGGCCAGCCGACAAGGCTTAAAAAAATACCTGAAGATTAATATAGTATAATTAACTATAACACTTACATTTCGCTGTATCTTATTTTTTCCTTTTGTTTTTAGTTTTTTATTGTCATATTTTAATCAGTTCTAGTATATACCACTGGGGATCTACTAATTTGTAATCAAATTTATTTTACCATATACTTGTCAGCATTCTCTGCTTAATGTAATAATTTATACAGATTGCTGAACAAAATTGAATAAAGGAAAAAAATTATATTTTCATTTTTTTATAAAAGTTCATATAAATGTATATTAGTTTATATTTTTAAAGTGTTTTTTTTTTAATACTACAGTTTTATTTGTTGTCTATTTATGATAGGCGTAAAAATTACTACATAATAATAATGATTGAGTTGAAATGATATTGAATTAATCTGTTGTTTTTTGGTATTTCATGTTTCTACAATCAAGAACCTGCGAGCTTCCTTCTGACCTACTCTATAAAACTATAACTATTACTATCATAACATTTCATAGGACTCCACAATTTCATTTAATGTGTCAAAGTTGAAAAGGCATACTACTGGGTAATCTTTCAGATTTTTTTTTTTTTTTTATTATTAACTCTTTTATTTACAACTGTCCAGTAAAGGACATTCAGTAAATTTGATAAATTTACAATAGTCGAACGAAAAGGGACATTGTATACTACATTGGCATGTTAGAATTCAATTTATGTTTTATAATTCTCATATATCTTCAAAATTAGTGAATATCTTTTTTGCGTAGACAGTTTGCAATTTAATATAGAGAAAATAAGAAAAATATTTTGACTCAGTTGTTTTAAACAGTGATGATTTGTCTCTAAATAGAACGCCAAATTACACACTAAATAGTTTGCCAATATTTTCATATCTTTTTATATATGAAAAATATTTCTCTATAATTACTGAAGAAGAAGCTGCCCGAAGATAATATGGAGGAATCTTAGAACTACCACAACCTTATATGAACAGAATAATTGCAATAATTGAATCATTTATTGAAGTTATTCTCTAAATATGATTGTAATATTGATCCGATAAATTTATATGTGTGTTTGCAAGTGTGTGTGTATGTATGTGAGTGAATGACATAAGCCAAATAGCTCATAGAATAGTCATGTATTCTGATTGCTATTGAAAAAAAAAAAAAAAAATAAAATAAATAAATAAATTACAGATTTATAAGTGTCAACTTTCCTTATCTATGGTGTCAACAATATAAAAAATATGACTTGAAAAATTTAAAATCAATTTGCAATCCTTGTTTAAAAGATAAAAAAGCACTTCTTGTTTGTTGCTCTAACGAACACCGATGAGTGAGATTTTTTTTATTCCCTTAAAATAACAATCAAAATATATTAAAATAATATAAGCTATCTAAGCTAGATTATAATCTAATGTTACATGAAAAGAGAGAAAAAAAGTCAGAAGAAAAAATAATAACTCAGTATTCACTTCATGGAGTGAGATAGTCTCTTGTTTGATTTGAGAGAGTCATAAGATAACACACAAATTTCGCTATAATCGGGTTTTTCGAAATATTGGTTATTGATTAGTTTAAATAGAACGGTCGCCAAATCGAATAAACTCAAACGGACGGTTGTTCCGCTCCCATAGTAAGTACACTAATAATTAGACAAATACAGGGAAATTCGACATAAGGCTTCTTAAAAATTACACCTCTATAGTTTACAACTATTGGCGGCTCAAACGATATTGAAAAACGTAGAAGTATTTCTGAACGTCGGCTTACCGGCGTTTGTCCAGTATAAGGTGCGGCGTAATGGTGCGGCATAGCGGCGGTGTATCGGTACGGCTGCGGTGGAGCGGCTGTGGCTGCAGGAGCAGCAGCTGCTGCCATAAGGAGGAGCGGCGGTTGCGCGTCCATGGCGCGGCGCCGGTGCGGTACGGAGCGCCCGTTGCGGCGGTCGCCATTGCGGCGGCGGCGGCGGCTGTTGGACCGCGACCGCCTCCTTTTAGAGCGGACGCGCCGCCCGGACTCGCTGCGTAAGCTGCCCGAGGTGTGTTACTTCCCTGGAACAAAAATAAAATTAATAAAATTTTATACAACCAAAAGTTTATGTAATAATAAAAATTTATAGATAAATACCATATTTATAACACATTAGGCGTTTAATTTAAGTATATTTAATTTAAGTATGCTTTAATTAATAATGCTTTAACTTTAACCATTAAGATGAAGAATGATGGTCAACAGATTATTTTATTCACTACTATATTTACAACTGTCAGTAAACTGCCAAATTTAGCAAATAGCAAGCCACTCAGTAGTTGTTTTTGCATTCATTACAAATGATATTAACAATTTTCAATTTATAATAATATAAACCAAAATATTTTCTTATAAGGGGCCGTTCAAGTATTACGTAAGCACTATAGGGGGGCGGAGGGGTTGTTGATTTGCTTATTTTGGGTTGACATGGGGGGCAGGGGAGTCTGGATGATGATTACGTCATAGGTAGTATTTTTATTTTTTTACATTAATTGCAAATGTTTACGTAAGCATGGGGGTAAGAGCTTTGCTTACATTTGCTGACAAGGGGGGTGGGGGGGGCTAAATAATTGTAATAAATCTGCTTACGTAATACTTGAAACCTATCCCTAAAAAGAAAAAGCTAAGAAATTAAACTAAAACTCAATATCGACTAAAATCAAGTGGCGATTTTTCTTTTAGTTTACGATAGTTTTCTGTTAACAAGAAGTTGGCTAATAAATTTGAATGGCTGTTAAATAGATAGCAGAATGATGAATGAATAAATTTCTCAAAATATTTATCACAATATTGAATGATTCATATTTTTCACAATGTAATGACGACTATATTATCAAATGAACCCCGGAGATTATGCGAGAAAAAATGGATCCTCCATGTATATTAATTTATAAATGAACGTATGCTGAGCGAGTCATTGAACTTCGACCTTGTTTGTTGAGAATTGTCTACGGGACTGTGTGATTTGTTTGTGAAATTATTTTTTTCGTAGATATCGTAATCTGTAAACAAAGGCGGTAAATCTCGGCAAAGGAGGCCGTAGCAAATTACATACATACTTTACTTTACTCTGTTTCATTGCGAAAAAGTGGCTCAACTTCACCAGCAAATTGAACAAAATTGACCAAAATAATTATTAACCTGTTAACCGGGCAGGACGCATAAAGGCGTCTTAGATTACGTGCAGATGAGGCGTATATTTTCGATCGACTATTAAACTTGTATGTACTTGTTTTGTGCTGTTTTCTTTGTACTTCAAAAATATAAAGAATCAATATACATTTTATAGATTTTCATTCATTTGGTATTAATAAAAAATAAACATAAAATTATAGAGACCACACACGCCCGGTTAAAAGGTTAATTAGTTACCAATAAAAAGTTGAATAGTAATTAGCTCAAAAATCGTGATATAGAGAAAAAGTTTGAAATAATTTTAAAACAAACATTAGTAAAATGTCCTTTTAATCGTATTTAACTATTATTATTTTTACTCTATAACTTCGTATCTTATTGTCAATTTTGTTGGTATTTCCATATGAAAAGGCAGCAAATTTTTGCCATTAACACAGATCCACAAAAAAGATGTATGTATTAGATGTGCGGCATGTATTTTCTAATGTAGTTTTTACCACTGTACACGAATCTAAAGTCAAAATTGGGGGTCAAATGTTAAGAAATTATAAAAAAAACGACAAAATCGCCGATCTAGTAATTCTTCTTCATTATAATTAATATCTTATAATTACTGTCGTTCATATCTAAAAAGACTATGTGTGTGTATGTATGTATTGATACAATTTTTCGTCCACGTTTTAGGGCGCACGAATCAACCGATTGGAATGGTTCAAAAAGCATTCGATTTCTATTGATAGGAAGATGTGCTGATTAGTTTTTGGCAAAGACAGGTCCAGCCGTTACAGGATACGGAGCAAGAGTGCAGAAATAGAAATCGTGTTTTGAGTGAAAGGGCATCCGATTTGAATGATCTAAAAAAATTTAATTAGTAATGATTGGAAGAAGTGATCATTAGTTTTTGGCAATGGCAGGCCCAGTCATTCGAAGATACAGAGCTAAATGTGCAAAAAATGGCAGTTTTTGAGAGAACTAAGCGCCAATTTAAATTATTCAAGAACTTTCAGCTTGTTTTAACAAAATAATTGATTTTGGAAAAAAAAAATGTATCATTTTTTTGTTTTTTTTGTATATGGAAAATAATTCAGATTTTATTTTTAATTTTGACTAAGTTCTAATATACTTTAAACAAATAATTTTACTTTGCAATTCAGTTTATATATTTCCTATAAATATTAGACAATGTTACAATATTAATAATAATCTATTAGAAAACATTCAGTATTCCTCGAACATTTCGTTACGGTACGGGAAGTTCCAGCAATTTGCCTTAAGGCACGATGCCATACACCCCACTAGTTTTTGTATAATTCATCAGTAATATGCAAACATACGCCGCACACCCACAGCACAGGCAACATTTTTTGTGGACCTGTGTAATTAACGAGTAATAAATCAAAAATATCTAATGCTACTACAATTAAAAATACGTACAATCGATTCACTTATAATGTCACATCGTGTTTTCAATTAAATTAAAATCCAATAAACAATCTTCTTTAAAGGAAGTAGCAAAAATATAATATTAATAACACTAACTACAAATGCAAACCATTCACAACCACTTTCACTTTTGAAGCTTATAGTCAGTCGTCTATCACTTTAGAAATTATATCCTGTAACTATCCAAACTTGCACTATTATAGGTAAATATTTTTTATGCAGTTAAAAATATTTCCATGTATATAATAAAATTCATTTCATTGATATTAGATATAATTTCATACTATGCACTTTTCTAAAACCGAACCGGCACCTCGTGATTTGACACCATACTACACTACAATGAGCCGGCACGTACAACTGCACAACAGTCATTGCTCGTTGAGTCATAGCATTATTATCGTCGCATTGAACGTGAAATTTATCCTCGCCTAAATAAACATCCAATTATACACAAAAGAATCGTATTATCGATACTTACTCTAAATGAATTCATAGAATTCATTCATAAATTTTGACAAATAACCAGAAGATAATGTGATCTGTCGCCATATCAAGAAACAGATGCCCTGATGGTTGTAGATCATTTGAAGCTGTTTAATAGATTTTGTACTGGATTAAGTTTATTCATAAATGGATATGCAAAAAATAAGCTAAAAAAAGTATTTTTCGAATGAATGAAATGTGGCTTGTTGTTATGACAGCCTTATATTTTTCGCTTCAACGCACAAAGAGATTTTGGAATATTCTTGTGTGGTTTATTCATTGTCAATACTCGCAATTGAAGAAGAATTGAAGAAAATGTTTTATTATTTTGTTTCTCTAAAAGATACAACATATTGTGTTTGAATAAGCCCGCGAAAGTAACAATGCAATTGTGAGAATATGTATTATTATATTTTATTATAATGGAATATTTCCATTTATATAAAAAGGTGATATTTAATAGTGATCATTAAACCAGGCTAAAACGAAAAATTCTCAATGATCTCATAAATAGCCATTTATAAACGCTAATATTAATATTATTATTATTATTATTATCTTATTATTTCTAATATTGTTATTTTGTTATATTTTATTGTTTTTCTAGTATTATTTTTTATTCAGAAATTTTATTTATAATTTTATTTTATTATTATTTGCTTTTATTTTATATTAAACATCATACAACGGATATCATTTTAATGTAAATTCTATCCTTCGTACTCTTATTTTTATTTCTTACATTATTGCTAGATGTTATATTATTTAACAGTTGTAATAAATATTGTAAATAAAAAAAAGTCAACCCGTCCATGTCTGATCGTATGCATTTCCATAATAAAATTTGAGCGTTGGAAAATTTAGTACATCTAGTAAAATTGCACTTAGTTAGATTAGCTTCAGTCTAATATAACATAATTTGCGTCTTAGATTTAGTATTATTAGTCTTAGATTAGCATCAGTATAAAATTATCATATCACTTGCTAAACTAAGAAGATCTCATTGGAGTTCTTCTTAGACATCGTTCTCAAATATTGTCAATTTAGCTTATAGGAATCTTTATTTCTGACTGCTATATAAAACAGAGTTAAATCTAGTAAAATCATATTTTAATACCTAAATTTTTACATTTAATAGTAAGTTTAGGGCTCGCCCTTAGGTAAATAGCTGGAACGACTGGACTGAACAGAGTCTCTGGTTCGAACCTTGCTTGGAGCAGCCTGTGTCAAGCAGCAGTGAAATGGGTTTTCACTTGGAAATATAGATAGCAATGTTCTCAAGTGAAAATAGCTCTTGGGTAATACTGCATTAATAGTAAGTGATCACCATTACCTATATTGTGATAATCAAATTGATCACATATGGATAGGTAAATTATTCGGGTTGCAGTATATAATGAAACTACTTAGTTAGTGAATAATTCATCACATCAGGTTATAGACTTTTTTATTTCTGATCGTTGTTCAAATAAATAATTATATATCAAAACATATATATTAAGTTTCGGCACTGCTCGAGATCTTTAGTTCAAGAAGACTGAAGAGAAAATTTACAGGTGATTTATGTTTAATTAATTAGTTAACTAGTCAATAGGAACAGAGTTCTATTATTTTTATTATGATCATTTCTATAACTATTGTTTATTATAATAATAATTATTAATATTTTTTCCTAAAGTTTTCTTCTTCATATTTATTATTTATTTATTTAGTTTCTCTTTTATTTTAACTTATATTTTTATTTGCTAAGGTTTAGATGATGTATCTACTGTAACTCATAGAATACTTATTTTATTATTATTATTATTATTATTA